TTTCCATTGTTATTTAACATTATACTGGAAATTCTAACCAAGACAAAGAGGCAAAAGTAAGAAAGTAAGTAGAAAGAAAGAGGAGGGAAGGGAAGGGGAGAGGAGAGAAAGGAAGGGAAAAAGGAAGGAAGAAAATGCCTCCAGATTGAAAAGGAGACAGTAAAATTATCTCCACTAGTGATATAATCTGGTATATAAAAATATCGGCCGACTGCGCCTGTAATCCCAGCACTTTGGCAGGCTGAGGCAGGTGGATCACGAGGTCAGGAGTTTGAGACCAGCCTGCCCAATATGGTGAAACCCCATCTCTACTAAAAATACAAAAATTAGCCAGGTATGGTGGCTCACGCCTGTAGTCCCAGCTACTCAGGAGGCTGAGGCAGAAGAATTGCTTGAACCCGGTAGGCAGAGGTTGCAGTGAGCTGAGACCACACCACTGCACTCCAGCCTGGGCAACAGAGCAAGACTCCATCTAAAAAAAAAAATCATAAAAATCCTAGAATTGAATTTTCATATCCTCCAGTATATCAGTGATCTTCATTTCTATCCATATTTGAATTCTGCTTCTGTTAGTTCAGCAATCTCAGTCTGGTAAAGAATCATTGTAAAGGACATAATATGGTTGTTTGGAGGTAAGAAGACACTCTGGCTTTTGAGTTGCCAGAGTTCTTGCTCTGATTCTCTCATCTTTATGGGCTGATGTTCCTTGTTCCTTCAGTCTTTGAACTTTCTGCTTATGTATCCCTGAGCCCAAAAGAAAAGTTAAAAAAAATTAAAATAACAAGAAATTTACAAAAAAACTATTAAAATAATAAATGAGGTAACAATATTTCAGGATGGAAAATCAATATAGAGAAAACAATTGTATTTCTGTATATTAACAATGAACTGAAAATGAAAAATCTAAACTGAAAATGAAATTAAGAAAAAAATTGATTTATAATATAATTAAAAAGAAAGAACTTAGGAATTAATTTGACAAAACAAGTGCAATATTTGAATTCTGAATGCTACAATACGTTATTGAAATAAATTGAAGAAGACATAAACAAATGTTAAGATATCCCATGTTCATGAAACAGATGACTTCTGAACTTATCTGCTGATTCAAATCAACTCCTATAAAAATTCCCAGCTGCCCTATTTTTTCAGAAATTGACAAACCAATCCTAAAATTTGTGTGGAAATGCAGGGGATCTAGAATAGCAAAATCAATCTTGAAAAAGGAAACATGAATTTGGAAGACTCGCGTTTCTGGATTTAAAAACATACTGCAAGCTACAGTAATCAAGACAGGGTAGTCCTGGTATAAAAATAGACATATAGATCTATGGATTCCAGTAGAGACTCTGGAAGTAAAACTGCACATTAGTGACCAATTGATTTTCTACAAAAGTGTTGAGAAAATTCAATAAAAAAGATTTTTTCAACAAATGTTACTGGAAACAATGCATATCCACATGCCAAAGAAAGAATCTGTACTCTTTGTTTGCACTATACAAAAATTAAGTCAAAATTAAATTATAGATATATACAGAATAGCTAAAATTATGAAGTTATTAGACAAAAACATTCGTATAAATTTTTGTGCCCTTGGATTGAGCAATAATGTCTTAGAGACAACATCAAATGCACAAGTGACAAGACCAAACAAAAAAAAAAGAATTTTTTTCAAAATTAAAAACTTTTGGCTGGGCGCGGTGGCTCACGTCTGTACTTCCAGCACTTTGGGAAGCCAAGGTGGGCCAATCACGAGGTCAGGAAATTGCGACCATCCCGGCTAACACGGTTCTCTACTAAAAATACAAAAAAAGTTAGCTGGGTGTGGTGGCAGGTGCCTGTAGTCCCAGCTACTTGGGAGGCTGAGGCAGGAGAATGGCGTGAACCCGGGAGGCGGAGCTTGTAGTGAGCCGAGATTGCGCCACTGCACTCCAGCCTGGGCAACACAGCAAGACTCCATCTCAAAACAAAAACAAAAACAAAAAACGAAACAAACAAACAAAAAAACGAACAACTTCTGTGCTGCAAATGATACCATAAAAGGAAAAGACACATAAAAGGAAAAGACACATAAAAGGAAAAGACAACCCACAGAATGGAATAAAGTATTTTACGAATTTTGTATCTGATACAGAATTATATACGGAATATATAAAAACATTTACAACTCAATAATATAAATTTGAATAATGTAATTTTTAAATGGACAGAAGATCTGAATAAATATATTTTTAAAGAAGATATACAAATGATAAATAAGCACACATGAAAAGATGCTTATCATCATCCATTAGGTAAACGCAAATCAAAACCAAAAGGAGATACCAAATCACACCTATTAGGATGGCTATAACCAAAAATAAAAATAATAACATGTTGGCAAGGATGTGGATAAATTGAAATCCTCATACATTGCTGATGGAAATGTAAAATGATGCAGTCACTTTGGAAAACAGTTTGTCATGTCCTCAAAATAATAAGCAGAGTTACCATGTGACCAAGCAATTCCATTCTTAGGTGTATACTCAAGAGGAATTATAACACATTCACACAAAATTCGATACACAGGTGTTCATAGCAGCATTATTCATAATTGCCTAAAGTGGAAATAAGTAACTTACATATCTATTAATTGATAAATGGATTAAAAATGTGGTATATCCAGAAAAAGGAATATTATTTAGTAATTCTTTAAAAAATGAAGTACGGGTACACGACACAACATGGATCAATCTTGAAAACATTCTAAGTGAAAGAAGGCAGTTAAAAAAGACCATATATATTATTATTCCATTTACATGAAATGTCCAGAATTGGCAACTATATAGAGATAGAAATTAGACTAGTGATCTACCATGGCTAAGATGGGGAGGGGTGATTAATGGTTTGAGGGAGGAGGGAATAAGAAGAATGACAAATGACTGCTAATGGGTACAGGATGTCTTTTAGGGGAAATGAAAATGTTCTAAAACTAGGTAGTGGTGATAGTTGCACAACTATGAATATATTAAAAGTTATTGAATTGTATACTTTAAATGGGAAAAATGATTCTAAACAAGTAATATTCTGAAAAGTATTTTCTGTTATCCAAATTTTGAGGCTACTAAAAAAATTTAGCACTTCTGTTTATAAGCTTTAGAATTCTTTTCTTTTTAGACTTGTCATCTTTTTGTTAATATGAATATTTTAACTTTTTAAATCAGTTTTTGTCAATGTAAAAAAGTCTGAAAATATTCTACATGCAACTAAAATGTAGTTTTATCTTAAACACAATGGATCTTCAGAGAATGGATACTTTACAAGTGTAACTGTTTTCCTCAAAATTGTAAAGTTGACAACTGGAAAGTATAAAAATAGAGACAAAATTCTTTCAATGGTGTATTCTTTGACAAATTTTTCACTCACTGGCATATAACTATGTTCTATTTCTATTTTTGAGTGAGCTGATTTTTTTTTTTTTGCAGAATGTCATCTATTTTGTGGGATTTATTAATGTATTCATATTTATCTTTGCATCTGTTGATATCAACTCCATTCTGAATGGAGTTGTACTTTCCATTCCTAATTTTGAATACTTGTACTTTCTATCTTTTTTTTTCTATCTTTTTTTTTGTTTAGCCCTACCGCATTTGTACATATATATAATTTTATATGTGTATTTATTTATCTATAACTACCCTTTGAACTACCTATACAAAGAAGGAGATATAATTATATTAAAATGGTTCAAGTTCTACATGACTTTAAAATTAAAAAAAAATTAAACTTTACTGAAGTTTAACAGCAACAAAAGAAGGAATAAATAAAACTGTAGGAATTGCTGAACTTCAGAAAATGGTTTGTTTACTTTGAGAAATATTTGTTCCTAAAAAATTCCCCTAGGCCAGATACAGAAAACTGGTGGCTTTGGGACCTAACACAGCATACAGATACTTTTTTGTTGTTGCTTTTTGGCCTGCCTAGTGTAGGCCTACACAGTGTTTTAAATTTGAAATAGTTTTCAACATTTTAAAATAAGGAGTTTTCTCATAAAAATCTGGATCCAGCATGTACCATAATGGGCAGCTCCAGCAATGGCATCCCACAGTCCTGCATGAAAGGGGCCCGCAGGAGCTAAGGAGCGGCAGGCTCTTTAAATGGGGCCCATACTCTCCCTTTCAGCACAGCTCACAACATCTCTCTGTTTCCCCAACCCGGGCCTGGGTGTCAGTTGCTGGTTGCCATCTATCATCTTACACATTTCTGGCTTATTGATTCAATTACTTCTAGGCTTTTGATTTTGTATCCTCAACTCTTGGCTATTCATATTACTGTATTAGTTGCTGATGACATTGACCCATCTTGTTCTTAGTATTTGTTCCTGCTGCTGTCATCTTCTTCATCTCCTGTTATCTAAAGTCACCATAGCTATTATTTCTCTATCCCTTCCAGTTCTCTGCTCTGTATAGCATAATGTTACATCAGATAATGTTAACCATTTCTCAGTGTGTTGTTAACTCATTCCCTTTAATGTCCTACAGTTAACGTAGCACACCCATGTCCACTGATTCTTCTCTTACTGAAGTGGAGTTAGGGTATCTTCCACTAGAACACCCCACACTAAATAATGGTACTAAGGTAGTCCAAATTCTACTTAAACTGCATATCATCTCTGTCTCTTGTCTTTGCAAATTACTACTTTCCTTTTGTTTCAGCTCAGTAATGTCTCTTTTAGGAATTACGCTCATATCTGCATTTGTATATCATGCAATTATTAACCTTATATATCATTTTCAAAGTGAATTTGAATACACGTAACAGAAAACCCGCTTCAAATTTGTTTAAAAAATAAAGAACTGTATTGGCTTATATAAAAGTACAGGGTGGGGCACATTGATTCAGTGGCCACAGTTCTATTTTTGTTGTTTTTTAGTTTCCTTAGACACATGAATGAACACAGTCATGCTGTTAGGAAGAGGAAAAGGAAGACTGATAAATAGTAAGTGTTCAGCAATATTCACCACAATCAAATGGTTCAGCCACCACATGTACACGTAGGTCTTTCCTCCTATATGTAGATACCACATCCTCTTGGACAGGAATATCAAGTATCTCATTACCTGAAAGAGAAATGAGATCCTTGGTTAGCCAAATTGACAGTACTTAGTTCCACTGGTAGGATGGGTCTCTGTCCATTTTCTTTCATGACCACATTGAAAATGGACATGGAAGAGAGTGTCCTTTCTAGAGATGGTGTGGCATTTGTAGTCCAGTCCCACTAGGTGCAAATCTGAGGGCCTGAAGATGGCCTGTGTTTGAGTAATTAAAGAGTGTTTTGAGCCAGGCCTGGAATATCTTTGGCAGCACAGTTCCCTTAAAAAGTTAGGAGGCTTTGATCTTTTGCATGCAAAAATTAGCAAGTATGGTCTCCACAGTAGTTTATCTGGTCAAAGTCTGATTCTGATCATTTCATTTTCTCGCAACAAGCTTCTGTTCACTGTCCATTCCCTTGGACCTTGATTGGCACCTTTATCTTGACGGCTGCCTCAGAGCAATAAAAAAAAACAAACAAACAAGCCCTTAGGTACAAGGATACCATAACTTTCATAATTAACCCCAGATTAAATTCTATCTGCATATTCTTAATGGCATGGCTAACTACTTCCTCAGTTGGGAATGTTTAGCAGAATTTGCTTGAAAGAGGTCTGAAGAGTAGGCTCACATTGTACACTAATCTTGTCAACCTTCCATGACTCCTATTATCCTGAATTGTTAACAAAAACTTCACCTTAGGGATAAGACTTGGCATTCCTTTCCTTATCAAACTCCACATTAGTGTATTTGAAATAATTTGCTTTTCCGACCAGTGGCAGAAAAGAATGAGATTTTCTTTCATTCCTTCTCTTATTTGCAGAACGTTCAATTTAAGCTAATCCAGTATCTACACTGTAGACTTCAGTGAAGGCTGGAAGACTAATCCAACACAATCTGACATCCTGATTCTTTCCAATCATCTTTGTGTTCCACCCTCTGTGAGTATATAATCATTTCCTGAGGCAGAAGAAGTATTGTTATAAATTACTTTTTTATAACTGCATAACAAAGACCATTAACTTCCCAGTTTAAGAGGAAGGTATCCTTTTTACTGACCTCTTTTACCTTGATTCAGCACCATACACTTGCTATCACATTTTGTACCCACTCAGAGCACAATAGCTGCAAGTAACAGAAAACCAGGTCAGGGTATCTTAAACAATAAGAAAAAAACTAAATCACATAAACTGAAGTCAGAGCTAGGGTGGGCTTCACAAAACAACCATGATATCCTTCCTAGACTGATGCAATTCCCTGTTACCTTATCTCTGTATATCTGAATGTGTCCCCTACGTCACTTCTCCATATAGCAGTCACAGCGATCTGTTGAAAATTAAAATTAGATTAGGTTCTTGCCTGATCAAAACACTCTACTGACTTCTCATCACAATAAGAATAAAATCCTTAATCCTTCCCGTAGCCACAGACACTGTCTATTAGGACCCCTCTAGAGCTCTCCCTCTAGAGTTCTTGAGACACCTATGTAATGGGACCCCTCTAAAGCTCTCTAGTCGTATCACCTGCTGCTGTTCTCTCACTCACTCCACACTGGCTATAGTATCCCATTTTGATGTTTCTTCATTGTGACAAGCTTGTTCCTTTCTTAGGACCTTGACATTTGCTACTGCATAGGCCCAGAATGCTCCTACATGGAGCCTTTCAGGCACCACTTGCTGTATTATCAGAGTTCTCCAGAGAAACAGAACCAATATGATGTGTGTGTATATATAGAAAAAGATTTATTGTAAGTAATTGACTCGTGATTATGGAGGCTGGCAAGTCTAAAATCTGCAATATTGGCCAGCAGCCTGGAGACCCAGGACAGCCGATGGTACAGAAAAATTCTGAATGCCATCTGTTGGAGATTTCCCTTTCTGTTCTATTCAGGCTTTCAGCTTATTGGATGAGGACCACCCACATTATGGAGGCCATTCTTGTTTACTCAAAGGTCATGGATTTAAAAGTCAATCTCATCCAAAAATATCTTTCATGTTGACACATAAAATTCACCGTCACACTCACATACTTTTTCAGATCTGTGCTCATTCATGACCTTTCAGAAAGAAATTCCTCAAAGCCCCTATTGGAAAATTCCACTAATTTCTGTGTCTTCTATACCTTTATCATATTTTACTTCACTTCATAGCTTTTTTCAACATCTAAACTTATACTACATATTTATTTGCTGTCTACCTATTATCTACCTCCATTTCTAGAATATAGGCATTATTCTTGTTTACCACCATTTCTATAGGATACAAACAATAATTATGTAGTGGATGCTTAATAAACTTGAGTCAAATGTTTATATTCACCTGGGAATCAAATGGAATCCTTCTTATCTAGAGGGAAATGGCTCAGAATAATTGAAATTACACAGAATAACTGAAATACACAGAAACAATTGAAAGATTTTTCTAAGTCATATTGCTTACAGTGTGTATTTGTCTATTGTCTCTCACCCCACCCTTCTCGGCTCTGAAATACTAAGAATAGGGGTCTCAAAATGCATTCCTTAGCCTTTGTTGACAGCAGACCTCTACTCACATCCTTCCAAGAGAAGACACTAGTGGAGGGATGAGAATGTCTCAAGGGATAAGCTATTGTTCTTTTCTCTTGCTCTTCTTCTGGCAGCATTCTTGAGTGACTACATCCTTTCCACCCAACAGCAATCCAACTTCAGCTTCAATGGTACCTCTTGCATGGTTCTAGGACAAACTACAGGCCTCCTTTGTCATGGTTTCAGCACTGTCTAAACTAGCCACTCTAGCAGGGAAGCACTGAGTGTTCTTCTGGGCTCTGATTACACCATCTTGTCACTTTTGTTTTCCAAGAATTTGATAAAGTAGCCACTTTCAGCAATTACTAATCTCTGGTGTACTTTTTTATTTTACTTCTCTCAGACTCAATACAATGTAGCAATGCTCCTGAATTAGACCTCTAAATTACAGTCTATTGTTTTAAAACAATAAGGTGCTCCCATTTGTTTTTTTTGTTTTGTTTTGTTAATTCAATGATGTGATTCTTGGGTTAGGTAGCTTGTACAGTTTGAATATAAAGATGACCTTATTACCAGTGGAAAATGGGTTACTGCTAATCCATGACATGCCACGACATCACATTTACCAAATTAGCTGTTGTGGCTTTATTCAAAATTTATTTTCCTGTTTATTTATTTATTTGTTAGATAAGGAGTCTTGCCCTACCACTCAGTCTAGCTGGTCTTAAACTCCTGGCCTCCTAGCTGGTCTTAAACTTCTGGCCCACCTCTGCCTCCTGAGTAGCTGGGTCTCTAGGAGTGAACCACTGCATTCAGCTTATTTGACGTTGCTTTAGATGAAAGGCCTTCATAAGGCAAGGCTCTGTAAAATAAAGTGGTCAATGAATTCAACTGCCATAGTAGTGATGATGACTACTAAAGACTGCGGGGAAAGATTTTTTTTTCTAATACTGCACTGGATTGCTTATAGAAACAAAATTACAAGCCTGATGCTTTAAAGTCTTAGTTCAAGTCAGGTCAGGGAACCAGGGAAATTTCACTGTGCTCTTAAAATATTCACTCATTTATTGTAGTTTCAGGGAAGATCACAAATCCCGTCCCAAACCTAAAAGTGAAAATTCCAGAATTACATTGTAAGTTGAATTTACTGCCTCATCATGTATCTTATGTGAAACTAAAAGCACATGATCTTGTGTACATTTTAGAGTATTAATTGGGAAAGAATGGAACTCTGGGGTTTGAAATAGGGATATTTGGGTAGACGTAGGTAAATCCGATGACCTTGAACCCTCAAATCTCATTGAACTTTCTATTGCTAGCAGAAATAGTCTCCCATATTTAAGGATATTAGTCTTTTTTTAAAAATTTTTTTATTTCAAGGCCCTGCAATTACCTCCCCTAAGGAAGTTACTTTCAAGTGGATGCCTGTTCATAAAACCTATCCCCACCATGCTTCATTGCCTTCAAAGCTAGAGTTTGAGTCTGATTTTAGCAAACACCTGGCAGACAAGTATATAATCTTACCCAGTGAAATGTGACTTAAATACAAAAAGTTTTACTAAGAATATTATTAGTTTTATTCACTTTAACTTAAATTTGGAGAATATGTGTGGGAAAGATTCTAAATATTTTGGAACAAAGAAAGATTTACAGAGATTCTATTTGCCATGTGTTATCTTGAGTAGCTAGGAATGGCTCAACTGTGGACACACCATCAGACTTTAATTCGGCTTATATTTAATAATGTTGAGCATGTACAACTTCTTGGCATAAAAGTGAAGAAAAATTCTAAAGCTTTGAGAGTCAAATAACAGACTGCATTTGTTATTTGTGACTTGGTCAGCCCCTGTCACACATAACACTCTCTTCATTCAGATATTGAGAAATTTATGAGTGAGAGAAGTATTAGAATCCTCAAAACTGTGATGGGTGGGTGAATATGAATACAGGTGAAAGAAGATGGCTTATGAACTGATAGTCGTTGAAGCTGAGTGCTGGGGTAATAGTGGAATAATTATGCTGTTTCTATTCTTTTATATAATTTTACAATCATCCATAAGAAAATTAAAGGAGATGAGTTTTGTGGTGGCTGTCTTTTGTTGACTGGAGATGATATTGGAAAACGCCAAGTTTGAAACAGGCTGCCTAGTTTTAGTGGAAATTATGAAATTCCTAAATAACAGAAGCTTAGTGAAAATGCTTAACTACCACAGAAAATGTGTACATGATGACCTGGTCTGTTGATGTCATCTAGATTCCAATTTCCTAGACTCTTTAGGGCTTGATCAATGGACTCATGTATAAAGTGGCCACAGTGGCAGGTATAGAGATTCTGCAAGGGCTCAACAATACAGACCTTCTCTTACCAAAGCTATTTGACTACCACCCTTGCTGTGGGCATGCACAGGTTTAACAGCAGAGGCCCAGCTCATATCCTGATATGGCACTATTCCTTGGGGAGACCAGGCAACCACCTGGTATCAGAGTGATTGCTCTGCCATTTATTTTGGATACTTCATCTGCTTTTTCTACTTCCAATGTCTCTTCCACCACCAACATTTTTTTATTATGAAAATAAGCCCTCACAAAGAACAGGGCTCATAGTTGTGGGCACAAGGGAAAATAGTTGTTAATTTCTCTTCCTATTTACTGTATTAGGGTAAAACAATATCATATATGATATCTAGTAAGAGCTGATACTACATGGTGTTTGGAAACACTCAAAATGTAGATTATGGTCTCTCAGCTGGTGCCAGAAGCCACCATCAGAAGGCCTTTGGTGTGTCATATTCACCATCAAGACATTTTGTACTGTATTGCTTCTAACCAAAGAACTTATTACAATGCAAAAGAAGTGCAGCGATGGTGTCATACAATTCACTGATCTTACTACATACTTATTGGCTTAGAAGCAGCTGCCTTAACAGAAACATAAAATGCCCTAATGACGTATTAGATACAGTGCCAGCTGAGAGACAATAATTTACAAATGTGTTTCCATACACCATGTAGTATCAGCTTTTACTAGACATCATATATGACATTGTTTTACCCTAATACATTATATAGGAAGAAAAGTGAACAGCTCTTTTCCCCCAATGC